ACACACACACACACACACACACGCGCTCAGGAGAGAGCAACACACACAGGTACACACACACACACGCGCTCAGGAGAGAGCAACACACACAGGTACACACACAGGTACACACACACACACACGCGCTCAGGAGAGAGCAACAAACACAGGTACACACACGCACACACGCGCGCTCAGGAGAGAGCAACACACACACACACACACACACACACACACACACACGCTCAGGAGAGAGCAGTGCACACAGGTACACACACACACGCGCTCAGGAGAGAGCAACACACACAGGTACACACACACACACACGCGCTCAGGAGAGAGCAACACACACAGGTACACACACACACACACGCGCGCTCAGGAGAGAGCAACACACACACACACACACACACACTCAGGAGAAAGCAACAAACACAGGTACACACACACACACACACACGCTAAGGAGAGAGCAACACACACAGGTACACACACACACACGCGCTCAGGAGAGAGCAACACACACAGGTACACACACACGCGCTCAGGAGAGAGCAACACACACCAGGTACACACACAGGTACACACACACACACACACGCGCTCAGGAGAGAGCAACACACACAGGTACACACACACACACACGCGCTCAGGAGAGAGCAACACACTCAGGTACACACACACACTCAGGAGAAAGCAACAAACACAGGTACACACACACACACACACACGCTAAGGAGAGAGCAACACACACAGGTACACACACACACACACGCGCTCAGGAGAGAGCAACACACACAGGTACACACACACACTCAGGAGAAAGCAACAAACACAGGTACACACACACACACACACACGCTAAGGAGAGAGCAACACACACAGGTACACACACACACACGCTCAGGAGAGAGCAACACACACAGGTACACACACACACACGCTCAGGAGAGAGCAACACACACAGGTACACACACACGCGCTCAGGAGAGAGCAACACACACAGGTACACACACACACACACGCGCTCAGGAGAGAGCAACACACACAGGTACACACACACACTCAGGAGAAAGCAACAAACACAGGTACACACACACACACACACACACGCTAAGGAGAGAGCAACACACACAGGTACACACACACACACGCTCAGGAGAGAGCAACACACACAGGTACACACACACACACGCTCAGGAGAGAGCAACACACACAGGTACACACACACGCGCTCAGGAGAGAGCAACACACACAGGTACACACACACACACACACACGCTCAGGAGAGAGCAACACACACAGGTACACACACACGCGCTCAGGAGAGAGCAACACACACAGGTACACACACACACACACGCGCTCAGGAGAGAGCAACACACACAGGTACACACACACACTCAGGAGAAAGCAACAAACACAGGTACACACACACACACGCACACACGCGCGCTCAGGAGAGAGCAACACACACACACACACGCTCAGGAGAGAGCAGTGCACACAGGTACACACACACACGCGCTCAGGAGAGAGCAACACACACAGGTACACACACACACGCACGCGCTCGCTCAGGAGAGAGCAACACACACACACACACACACACACACACATGCTCAGGAGAGAGCAACGCACACAGGTACATATGCACCTGTGGGAGATTTCTGCTGTATCCTGTTGATTTGGAGGTCTGTTGCAGAGGGATGTGTGTGTGTATATATTTGATCGACAACATCAGGGAGTTTGTCTGGTCATTATTTTGTTCTGTCCACTTCTCTGTGTGTGTGTGTGTGTGTGTGTGTGTGTGTGTGTGTGTGTGTGTGTGTGTGTGTGTGTGTGTGTGTGTGTGTGTGTGTGTGTGTGTGTGTGTGTGTGTGTGTGTGTGTGTGTGTGTGTGTGTGTGTGTGTGTGTGTGTGTGTGTGTGTGTTCTGGTGCTGTTCTCATGTGTGGTGAGTGTAAGCTGTGTTGAGGATAGTGGTTACTGACAGCATTGAAGATGTAGCACATATAGCA